TCTCTCTCTCTCTCTCTCTCTCTCTCTCTCTTCTAAATAAATAATAAAAAATAATAGTAAAGGAAAATGATTTGAGAGAGGCATTTTTTAAAAGTAAAACAAAAAAAGTGAGTTTTCTAGCTTTCATCTTTCAGAATAATTATTTGTGAATGATTTGCTTTTGTATTTTTATGCATTCTGTAGTTTTAATATACAGTATTTAAAATATTGTAACGTACACTTGCAATTATATATGTCATGTGAGCACTTAATGATAATTTCAATATTTTCAGCTGCTATCTGGTTTATAGATAGAGTGATTGTCAACTCTCTTCCTTTTCTTTTTTTCCTTAGCCACCATCAAAGAACAGACGAGAAAGAACAGAACTGAAACCCGATTTCTTTGATCCAGCTTCAATTATGGATGAATCAGTACGTTCAATTTAAATGTACCCCAGGATTGCAAAATCAAAAGTACAGGCAATCCCTAAGTTTGAGATTGAAGAGCTGGGACAGCACGTTGAAAATGGATAAAAACAGTTGGACAGGAGAAATAGAGGCAGACAGAAGGGATTTCAGGAGGAAGGGGGGTTGGTGATACAGTGGTGGGACAGATTTAAAAGTACCCTTGAATCCTTGGCCAGCTGGGACTTAAGTATTATGTTCAGGAATTTGGACTCTTTCTGTAGGCTTGAGTTACCCATCCAAGGATGTTGAATGAGGGAATGGCATGATCAGAATTGTGTTTCAGAAATATTTCCTTGGCATTTATGGATGGATAGGATGAATGAGAAACCATAATCATAATAGGAAGACATAGTAAGACATAGAACTTGAATAAGCTTTGATAATAAAGAGAAGGGGAAAGAGACTGGTTATTGTTAGGTATTCTCACTGTGTCTTAAGTACCTCTCATATTTGTCCCCACTGCCATATCGTCCCCAACAGTGCCTTGGTACAAGTCCACTTCAGTTTTTACTTGGCCTATTGCAAGTAGCCTTTAGACTGCCTCTTGCTGCCACTGCTTTATATTTCCTTTTATATTTCTCCTTTATATTTCTTTTGTGGACACCTTCCTAAAATGCAAATCTGGTTCTCTCCTTAAATAACTTCAGGGCCTTTCATTGATTTTTTTCCCCCCATTGCCATTAAGAAAAAATTTTGGATCCTCAGCATGACAAACAAAAATTTTTGGGTTCTTGCTCCCTCACCAACTTAACCTTGACTTTTTCCTTACATGTATCCTGCTCTCCAGCCATACCAAGTCTTATAGTTCCTCCCATACACACCATGCTCTTTCATGACACCATGACTTTGTATAAGCTTTTCTCTCTGCCAGAATTGCCCCTGTCCTTTTTCTCCTAGTGAATTCATCCTTTAATAGTTCTGACATTACCTATGAAGTTTTTGCTGACCCCTCCAGATAAATGCCTTTTTTTGGGGGCTCTTGTACCACTTTGTGTACATTTTTAATTTGGTAATTACCACACCTGTGTAGTGAAATAAGCTATTACATTTCGCTCAGTAGGCCTAACGCCAGGCAGTGATGATTTTATTCATTTTGAGTTCTGCCCAGCATAACAGGTGTTTAGTTTTGTCAAATGAATAAATCTGTTAAGTCACCTTCCATGTCATTTTTTATCGTCTACCCATTTGTGCTCCTTCCTCCTAACCCTTACTACCGCAGGCGACCATCCTCTTAGTCTGTGCCCCAATTTCTGCTGTTCTCTCCTAGCCCTTCCTCACCTGATAATCTGCTTCAGATAGTTCTTGGGAAAATTTTAACAAACTAACTCACACCAACAGACTAGATTAATAAGGCCAGTTACCTGAGTCAGGACACACCGTCACAGAGCAGCGGGTGTAGGAATCTTTGGATAAGCCACCTCGATGTCCTTTAAATCAGTGTTTCTTGTCTCTGGTGCACATATGAATCATCTGGAGATCTTATTCAACTATAGATCTGCTTCAGTTGGTCTGCAGTGTGGCCTGAGATTCTGCATCTCACAAGTGCTGTTGATGCTTCTGCTGACCATACTTTCAATAGCATAAGTGAGCTAGGCCTACCTATAAGTCTATAGTTTCAAGTGCATTTTGAAGTGTACGGTTCCCTGATAATCCAGGGATATGTATCTTCAGTTTGTTAAATAAAATGTGAAGGTGGTGACTGTGATGAGGACTAAAAGAATCTTTTCAAGCAGTTATAATGAAATGCATTAATCTAACAATTTATTGGGCTGGACTTTGGTGCTAAAATGAGTTCGATGTTCTCCCTGCCCTCCAGGAGTTTGTATTCTAGTTCACAGTGACTATCCCTTTGAAGTGAAAGGGACAGAGCTAGTATTTGAGAGCATAATGTGCCTGATGCTGTGCTAGGCATGATTTTAGATGGATTCTCTCAGCTACCATGTGAGAAAGGTGGTAGGACCTCATTTTTACACTCAAGCAAATTTGGGACTGAAGAAATGGTTCATCGGCTTGTTTAGTCTTACAACTCTAGTGCCAGAGTAGTAATTTGATGAGAGTTCCTTTTGATTTAAAAAATCTCATGCTGTCTCTGCTGTTGTACTTTCCAGAACATTAAAATCAGACATCATTTAGAAGAAACACCAAGAACATAATTTAGAAATTGGAATGATTAACTGTAGTCGATAAGGGCAGTTAGAGATCTCTTATTTTTTCATGTGTTCACCTAAAGTGAGCCTAAAGGTTTGCAAAAAGGTGTTCTTCACTTGAGATTACTAAAATAATGAAACAGCAATGTAAACCATACGTATATATTTTTGGCAACTTATAGAGAAACTACAAGCTGAGTGAAGCCAGATAGGAACCTAATAATTACTTGTTACTTATAGGATTTTTTTTTTGGCATTCTCGTGTCTTGTTGAATAGGTAATGTTATAACTAAGAGGATAGTAGTTGAGCTGTTTCCACTAAAATTAGGAAAATGAGCACATGCATCTGTTTCTGTAGTTTTATAGTGTTACCACATGATGGCAGCAGTCACATAACTGAGTGGCCAGTAATCTTTCAAGGTTCAGTTATCTTTGACCATATAAATGTATGTATATTTATATATATGTTTAAGTTAATATATGTATTAAGTTGATACTAATTTATCTTAAAATGTACATTAAACTTTACCTCATATTGTCTCAACAATAACTTAAGAAATAGAATACTAGAAATTTTTAAATGTAAAAATCTGTGTTTGCCTTTATACAATAGCTTACATCTGTTTTTAACTCAAGCCTGTGATAAGTGAGTCATCAAAACAATAGTAAAATTGAGACTTAAATCCTTATACCCAGTTCTAAGATTCTCTTCTTCTAAGTAAAATAACGAAAATATCCTGTATAGATGCTTTATTACTAAATACATCCTAAACAGTCTTTTGTACCATGATATTCACAAGATTCAGAAGTGGTAGCATCAAAACTGAGCAGCTCGGTTTGGGTTGCATATACACAAGATTTTGCACTTACGGTTTAGTGAGTTGTATGTCTGGAAGTAGTGTTGGTTTATTTCATTGTGCCAGTAGTTGCTCTCTGCTACTAGTGGGTCATTATTGCCACGACACACTAAAGCTTGCTGTTTATACTTTTTAAAGATATGCTTAAGTGTTTATTAATGTTAACGTCAGAAACAGATGTTTGTTAGCACAAAAAGAGAATAAGTGTCATTGGTGTCATTCTTCTATGTTAAGATTCTCATATTAGAATTGTCTGTAGTATAAAATTGGTAAAAGAAGTGTTCAGTCTAATGGAGCTAACTTTGTGTTCTTATAGAAGAATCTACTTACAACCTAATCTGTACAAAAGCAAAAAAATAAATGTTCACATGATTTCTAGTTAGGCATTCTGGAAAGAACGTGAGTTCATCTTCATGCCATACTCTACACTAAGAGTTGCTAGTAAGATTTATCCTTCAATTCATCAGACGTTTTCTTACCCAAAGTCACAGAGTATTATGGCTAGAAGGGACCTTTAAACATCATGTAGGCTTCTTTGGTGGAAATACTCTAACCACCCGAACTCTGACTCTAGCCAAAAAAGGAGAATCCTAAACTTTATTGGAGGGTCGGGGGGAATAAGGGGTGAGCAGTGGTGGTGGTTTTGGTGAATGACAGGTAAGAAGTGGGGTGCATTTTATCCTCTTTGTTCACGTTACTGGGAATTCCAAATACTTTACTTGATAATTCATTATAAGGAGGCTGCAGTCAGATAGATACTTGTTTCCTGGTCTGGAAACACTCACTTCCTTCAAGTGAGTACTGAACAAGTACTGAGTTCAGTAACTTTTTTAAAAATGATTTTTCCATTTACAAGTAAGAACCCTGTAATCCCAATCTTAGCTCATTATAGTATTTAAAAATACTCCTTAATTGTCCTAGTAAATGCTGGAATTTTAGTAGAATAGCCTAACTTTTAGTATATGTAGCTAAAAAGTTATGTCTTGTTTTTGTTTGATGAACAAGAGAGAGTTGGCTCCATTCATCGTATGCTTTTACTTTTTTCAGTTAGTGACAAGTAATTATTAGATTTTACCTTTCTTTTCCCAACTGGAGTGGTATAAAAAAAAGCATCAGTGTAAGTTACTTTGCCCAAATTTCACATTACTTATTAAAATTTGTAGTTCTGTTCATTGACTCGGACTAGATTTTCTGGATTTTCTACATACTTGTATTCTTCTTGGATATTTTTAGTCCGTGTGTTCAAATGCCTTTTTAAAAGCAATACCCACTTCACGGTGCAAATACCAAGTCTGCAAGACATTCTTAAGCTCTTTCCAATGAGCCTGTGCCAGAAGTATATGTAAAGAAGCACATTCATTTGTCCATTCAACAAATGTTGAGTGCCTGTGTGTTCAGGGCATTATCTAGGCATCAATGGTGTGAATAAACCTATACATGAGATATGGTCCCTGTTCTTAGTTATATGTGTGAGGTAAGTAGCATCTTGAGTAGGCCTGATGTTGTTACTTCATTACATATTTATGGTCGTTTCAATTTTAGAATTCAAGATCTGAAGGGAGGGGAATTTTTCAAAGTGGTTTTATTAGCATATTATTAAACTTAGTATTATCAAATATTAATGTAACATATACAGATCTGTTTTACAAAGAAATGAATGACAATTTTAACAAGATTTTTTTTCTTCTCTCTCATTAGGTTCTTGGGGTGTCAATGTTTTAATACCAGTACACAATTAAATCTGTGGTGAAGTCATTTTCTAAGTGGAAGAGGAAGTTTTAAAATAAAGTGTGGTAGATACAGTGAAATTCTGTACAGATTTTTCTCTAAGGAGAATATGACATGCTTACGCTTACCAAGATCAAGTGCATTGAGGGGCAGTTTTGTTTGCCTGAAAAAAGTAAAGGACAAGTAAACAATTTGATGATAAGCTACAGTTTTTCTTAGAAAGTAAATATTTTATTTATGCGCTGTTAGTTGGCTTTTGAATCAATTATTTCATGCTTTTTTTAAAGAAAATATAACAATCTAAAGAGGCATTTGGTACAGACATGAATCCTCTCACATTTATTTACTGGGTGTACTAAGTAATGATGACCTCTGCTGGATTTCTGTTTACATCCAAGAAACAAAGTTAAGGATGAATTTATTCCCCTGCCCTGAAATTATAGGATAGAATTGTTTTTAGCATTCTAAATTTAAATGCTTAAAACATCAATCAACAAAGCTTTCTTTTAAATATTGTAATTGTGGAGAAAAGTAAACTTATAAGCAGAACTTTTACAATTTTTTCATCTAAAATGTATTTTAAGATATTTTTAAAATCCAAGAGCTTCTCTATACTTTTCAGAAATATCCAGATGCAGTGAACTGCCAGAAGGTAACCAGTCTCAAACATGCTTATCCCATTATCAGCCCTGAAAGTTTGCTTGTCCTTTAAGATAAAAATGTAATGTTGTGATATTCCTTCCAGTAGTGCCACTGTATTTTGTCTCCAAATAAAAGAAGCTTATTGTAGTATGTTTGCAGAAAAATTCTAAACAAAAATTATACAGCTTATTAGAGTGTGGGAATAGGGATCTAAATTTTAAATAAAATTATATATATATATAAATTGGTGCTGATTTTATAATTGCGCAGTTTGTTTAGTTTTTTCTTACTTTTAAATTCCAACTTAAAATTATGAGGTTTCAGAAATATATTGAAAGTTTAACAGTTTAAAAATAGAAAAGCATGAGTGTTCATGCTTTAAAATGATTTTTAAATTTGTATTTTATATTGTTTTATCTATCTGTCTTTGCAAGCAGTCTTCAGGTTAAAGATACTTCTAACAGGTTACAGTACATTTCCTCTGTATGTAAATTAGATGGGATAATAGAATTCATAACCCATAATATTCTTTGAAAGCTAAGCTTTAAACTTCATTTTATGTCCTTTCACAAATAAATTAGTTTAAAACAAAGTGGCTACTTGCCATTTTGACATCAACTCATTTTGCGAGGCTTAGGCAGCTAGACATCGTTTAAAACAAAATATTAACTTATATTACATGTATATCTATCTTTTGTCAGTCGTCTCTCAGTTCTTGAGGTATATTATTTTAATCATTCCATGCCTTAATATGCTTGCAATACGAGAATATCTTCAGATGGGTGAATACCAAAAGGCTTTCAGTTCTTAGAGTCAGAAATCAACAAGCATTGGGCTGTGGTAGCCAAAAACCATAGGTTAGCTAAAAGATCATGATACAGTACAATTGTTTTATTAAATCATGATTAATAACAAATGAAACCAGACTTGTCTAAACAGATTTTCCATCTACAAATATTGTTATGTGCAAAAAGTACTGCCTATGTTGTTTTTCACACCACTGCATTTACTAGAACTGCTGAGAGGACTGTATATATGATTTTAAACCTAAGTTGATTTTGTTTCTCACTCTTGAAAGGAGTACTTCTTTGTGAAAGCAGTTCTTACAGCTTTGTTTTCAACCAGCTAAAAATGTTTTATATATTACTCTAACCTGTTGTCCTCCACATTCTATTGTCCTAATTGTACTGTTTTCTGATTTGTATTTATGTCTTGAGACAGTAACTTTTTGAATAAAAATAAACCTATAGTATGTTGTATGTTTTATCTTTTATAATTAAAGGAGGAGGGTGGCTATAAATGGCTTAGAAAAACATATCCATCATCACAGACTTTAACATGTGTCGGTGAGGTTAATTTATAGAGAACATTGCCATTTTATATTTTTAATAAATCATGTATTTTTAAATGAGACTAAATCCCTAATTGGGTTATTACTTTAAAATAGAAACTTGTGACCATTGTTACTTTAATTTTTATTTGGTATGGGTTAAACGCTCTTTAAAATGTCTGCATTATTTATCCAGGATACATTCGAGTGAGTACTATGTGCTAGGCATGTGTTAGAGATCTTAACAGTGAAGAAGATAGATAAGGTTCCTCCCTCCTAGATCTAGTGGGGTAAACAAAATAATTAAACTTATAAGGAGTGCTAGGAAGGAAATTACCAGTGTGTGCTGAGCTAGAGAATGAGTGTGTGTGTGTGTGTGTGTGTGTATAACCTTTCTTAGACAAGGGACTCATGCTTAGAGGTGGGTGAAAGCAACATTTGAAAAAGAATTTACTAATTGACTTAAAAAAAAAAAGACTATGGTCTTTAACATGTTAAGATTTGCATTGTACTCTTTTTTTAACTTTTTTTTTTTTTAAGTTTATTTTTGAGAGAGAGGGACACAGGGCACAAGCAGGAGAGGGGCAGAGAGAGGGAGACAGAATACAAAGCAGGCTCCAGGCTCCGAGCTGTCAGCACAGAGCCGGATGTGGGGCTCAAACTCAGAAACTGCGAGATCATGACCCCAGCTGAAGTCAGACACTTAACCAACTGAGCCACCTAGGCCCCCCTGCATTGTACTCTTAACGTTAGCACATTGGTTCGCCTGGTTTGTAGAGGATATTATGAAGACCAGTCTTCTGTCATTGGTGATTCAGAACTAAGCATATTAAATGGTAGCTAATAGCTGGGGCACTGTTTTAAGTGGTTTTACATGCAGTAACTTTTTAAAATGTGGCAGTAGGTGATACAAGTTGTCCCCCATCTTTCCTTCTCCCCCTTCCCCCACCTTTTTCTAAATCAGGAGGCAGGGAAGAAAATGAGGCACAGAGAAGTTAAAATACCTTGGGCAAGGCTATTATGTAGCTATATGAGGCTGTATAAGGCTAGTAAGTGATGGAGTTGACATTCACGTCCAGGCAGTCTGGCTGCATTAAGTCCCAAGAGCATTGAAACTACTTGATACATAAGGACAACCTAGATGATTGCATAAAGGTAAAATGGCACATGATTCATTGTGCCATGGTGAGGAAATGGAGGATCTTTAAGGGGTCCAGCTGGCTGTAGAACTGAGTGGTGCGAAGAAACCTTGTCCTAAACGTGCTACCCAGCTGACTTGTGTAAAGAGTATAAATTGAGCCTTGAGCCCATAAATACTTACTAGTTGATAGTCTTTAAAGTTGAAAGACTGGGAAAGAAGTGGATAACCCAGAAGAGAGGTCTTCAATATCCTGCCTCAAAGGGAACTGGTAAGGATTCACACGGATGAGTTCCAGGTCATATAGATGATTCTGGTAGCTGTAATCATTCAGCTAAAGAAAGCAAGCTAATCCAGTACAAGGTTTTTGGTTACGAGGAAACAAGGTGATGAAGTTCACTAAATGTCCCTTCAAGTCAACCAATCTTACCTATCTACTGTGTGCCTGGCCTTGTGTTAGTTGCTGAGCAAAGACCAGTAAGACAGATTTCCTTTTGAAGTTGTTTACAGTTCTGGGGGGCTGGGGTGCCTACGCAAAACTAATAAAACGAAGCACACTCAATGGTCTTATTGGGTGTTCTGGGACCCCAGAGGAAGGGCACTAGCTGTGGCTGTGCTGTGGGAGGAGTCTTCCTATATATAAAGCTGTCACTTGAGTTCCCCCGCCATGTTTAAAATGCAAATTTTTGCACAAGCAATGCTGAACTTTACAGTGAACGTATTTTACCATACTTACTTTACCACATACCCATCTATCAATACATCTCATTTTTAAAGTATATTTCAAAGTAAATTGCAAACGTGGGCCCACTATTTAAATATTTAGCATGCTTATAGGACTTTAATATTTGTTTACCCTTTTTTCTTGTGTAAAATTCATATGTGATGAAATACTGTATATATTTGCTGAGTTTTAACAAATGCATAACAGCCGTGTAACCCAATTCCCTATCAAAGATGATGAACATGACCATCAATCCAGAAAGTTCCTCTATACTCCTTATCGATCAACCCCTGCTTCCATCCCTTCTAGAGGCAACAACTATTTTCTTTCCACCATAGATCAAATTTGGTCATTCTAGAACTTGATATGAATGGAATTATACAATATGTGTTCTTTAAAAAAATGTCTTAACGCTTATATTTGAGGAAGAGAGAGAGAGTGCAAGCAGGGGAGGAGCAGAGAGAAGAGGGAGACACAGAATCCGAAGCAGGCTCCAGGATCTGAGCTGTCAGCACAGAGCCCAATGCGGGGCTCGAACCCACAGACCACAAGATGATGACCTGAGCCGAAGTCAGACGCTTAACCGACTGAGCCACCCAGGCACCCCATACGATATGTATTCTTTTTGTCCAAAGTTTCAGTATGTTTTTGAGATTTATCCATGTTGTATGTGTCAACAGTTTATCTGTTCAGTAGTTGATGGACATCTGGGTTGTTTCCACCTTTTGGCTGTTATGAATAAAGCTACTACTTGAGTTGAATTTTAAAGGGTGAGAGGTAAGCTAGGTGCAAGGGGATGACATGACCAAGGCTGAGAATTCTAGGCAAAGGCAACAGCATCAACAACTGTCATGGATGTAAGAACTATTAAGTAGCTGTTTAGGGTAGGTGAGACAACACTGGAAGATAGTTGGCCATCTGCTACCTCACATCAGCTCTAAAAATGAAAAAGTGTGTTCACAGCATGTTTGGTAACTTAAGTATTACATGCAGTGCTCTCAGAACTGGCAAATATCCCAAGTAGCTGTAGTTGGGTGCTTTTATAATGAGTTTTGATAAATTGATTTGTTTACTGATATGGGTGTTTTATATGTTTTAGTCATATTAGGCCTTGTTGTACCATTGAGAAATAGAGTACTTTTCCTACAGTTCATCACTTGTGTAGTTGT